TAAACTCATTTTAAATAATGTAAACAACAATTCGAGTTGAATCGAAAATCGCCTCGTCTGAATAGGGATGGCAACTTTTTCACTTTCAACTTCTCATTCAACTCCGCATTCAACTTTTGTTGCCTGAAAAATCGCCGCGTGCGAAAGGTCTATTATACTGAGCTAGACTAAAATAAATTGTTTATTTCGAACATACGAAAAAATAATATATAGTATTCAATGGATACAGTCACTATGCGGGTTGGAACTACCGAGGTTGTAGTGGAGAATGTTGTAACTGCAGAAGATGTGGATGTATGTGGGTATATATATGTCTTTTTTTTATAAACTATATTTCTCTTGATTTAGTCAGCGCCCGTCCTTCGACTCCGCTTAAAAAAGCCTGGACCAGACCGACAAGTTGCCTGGCGTGAAGGCACAGTTGATAATGAAAAAATGGGAAAGAAAAAATCTAAGTGTAAGTACATATAAACAAATTGCGTTTAACTTTGGAACACATAAAGACAACCAACCGTTCGGCTAGGGAAAACTAAAAATGCAGATGGATAGTACTTTTAATGCTGATGGGTTGGCTTTAGAAGGGTAACCCCAGAGTGTGGAACTAAGGAAAATATGGGTGGTAGAGGGGGTCTAATAGTTGTCTTTATTAAATTTCAAAGCGCGGAGCCTTGTAGTTATTAAGAAATTTTTTGTTAAAATTGTAAATTTAACAAACTTGTATGGCAGTATTTCACTATATTTAATGCACTTTCCACTAAATTTACCCGTTATTTACACTCAATAGCTCTGGTCCAGTACTTTTCGTGAAAAATCCTGTAAAACAGCTAAATTACTCTCTGAAGTGAGAGTAAAAAGTGAGTAACAACAAAAAGTACGGGAACAAAAAATCCATTTTTCCTGTAAAAAGGTCAACCAGTGATTGCTTGACACTTTTCATGATTTTACCAGAAGAAAAAGTTCGGGTAAAATCTTGCATTTTCATTCTCTACACAACTCTCCAAAAGTCGCTCTCATTTACAGGATTTTGGAGTACGGGAACATTTTTCCTGCAACTTCTTGCAATTTCGTGTAAAATCCTGGAAGTTCATGGAGTATTGGATCAGAGCTAATATGTCGTCGCTTGGGTAAAAGATTGTCATATGTTAATTTCGGCAGGTTGTGGGAAATCGCGATTGAAGTTTGGAATGCAATTTCTCAAAAACGGCAAGATGGACTTTCTCCAAAATCTCTGAAAACGGTACTAGTTCACAAGATTCTTAAATTATTTAACTTTCAATGTTTATTTTTAATTAGTCTTGAGTCATTTGTCCACAATTTGGCAGCCACTTTGTATGAAATACGAAAAAATTTGATCAAAATCTACTAAATTAACGACCCATTTTACTCAATATCTCCTAAACTAAAGGAGATATCCAAAAATTGAGAACACCTTTGCGAACACGTTTATTCAGAACAGCAGAAAAATCCAGAAGAAAGAACAAAAGATGAAAATAGATTATGTGAATAGAGTATGTGGATGGTCTATTTTACACTGGAACATATCTGCCACCAGAACAACTTTGTTTGTGGGCAAGAGAGGCAGTGCGGTGAGGTAAAGTTTCTCAAAAAGTTGTTCCAGCTTCGACCCCGCATTAAAGCGGCACTTCTGCTGCAGCGCACTAACACATGCGCAACTACAAAATAAAATTATACTTTAAAAAACTAAAACCTCCCTATTATAATTGCCATTCGTACTGTCATCAGGTATGTAACTTGAGAATAGAAATCGCTGCATCTTTTAGGCGCACCAATATTACATAGTTACATCCAGTGTTGCCGCGCCGTCCCAAGAAAATGTATCACCGACCAAGCCAAAAATGTATCCAAATGTATCCAATTTTCTTTTTTTACGTATCCATCTCATAATTTGTAAGAAAACCAAACATTTTGAAGAAAAAGACATAATTTAACATATCCTAAGGACTTGGAATACGTGTATATATATTTTTATATTTCATAAAATCAAACATTTGTAATTACCATTTATAAATTACGTCTTTTATACATAAGTATTTTGCAAAGCATAAAAAATAGTAATTAATATGTTACATTTGTACCTGTACACTATGAAAAGTGTGTGTAAACCTACTACTGAAAAATATCTATTTATCAACAGGAATCTGTATAAATATACATACGTATAAGATGTTCAGGATTCGATTTTGAACTTGAGATCTTTAAAATATATACATAAATATACACATGAAATGTTTAAAGTTGCAAAATTTTTTAAACTAAAAATACATTTCCTACAAATAATAAACATTATGAGCTTACATTTACTCTATTTTAAACATTTTATGTGTTATTTTGCGCTCTGCGATAAATTTGGTATGTTAAAGTAAACAGGCAGTGTTTAATTTTATTACACGGTGGGCAAATTTGCACACATTAAAAGAGGAAAATGGTTACCTTTCTTAATATGCGCAAATAAACAAACAAAAAAATTAGAGTGTATTTAAAGTCTTTTCAGTAAAATTCATAAAAATTTCCTTAAATAACTGGGTTTTAATCCGGATTAACTGCAGTTAATTCCCGAGTTGATCCGGATCAACGCTGCCGTCTGTTAAAACTCTTATTACACTGCTTTGGTGAGATCTCTAACTATGTTCATTGCTTAATTCACAAAAAATAAAATGCTCTAATTTCACGCTTAAGTAGCGATTTTTATAACATTTAGAAAACGTCATTAATGAAAATCTATTTTTGAACGAAAAAAACGTTATAGAAAATATAAAATTTTGGCCAATTTAAAAAAGTATCGACATATATACTGATAGGAAAAAATAAGTATCCCGCAAAGATCCAAACGGCATCCCTGGTTACATCCCGAGCTAATAAAAGGAAGGTAACTACAGCTACGTAACCCTGCAAATATTGTGCGACTAATCTCTAAAGAGAGTATTCCGAGATTACTCTCAATCGGGTACAATAGGGCATTAATTAGTCGCAACTAGTCTCATACGGGTACTAATGGAGATCAATTAGTCTCGACTCGTCTCTTATGGGTATAATTGGAGATCAATTAGTCCCCAACTCAACGCTAACGGGTACTATTAACGATTTAATGATATGTACGCACTTAGTCAATGCAATTTCATGTGCGCCGTTGGCACGCAGGGAGAGTATTCGCCTAACAAAACTGAGCACCCCGGTTCGAATCTCAGCTGGCGAAAATTTTTATTTTTATTTTTTAAAAGTGACTAGTCGCTTTTTATACCCGTTCGGGTATAAAGGTGAACAATTAGTCTCTTCATGTGACATGCTCGAACAAAAGCGAACATTCCCACGACAGCCGGTTCTACGTACCGGAATGACTCGGGTTTCACCCGACCAAGGGCTGTTGTTTCGGCGATCTAACCCCGTTTAGGTCGGCGAAGTATCTTAGAAGTTGTCCGTCCATAGGGCTACATTCACTACGTATTCTCCTACTCAGGGCTGGCATCGAGTCAAACCCTGGGCCAGAAACATACACCTGCTGTGTATGCCGAAGACGATTACACCACAACTCCACCTCAGTCAAGTGTAATGCCTGCGAGGGGTGGAGTCACCTCAAGGTCTGCTCGGGACTACGGACACACAGACAGTGGACCACGTCGTACGTTGCCCCCTGTTGCTCAAACAGAGCAGCCTCCACGGCTAACCATAGTCCGCCCGAGCAGCCCCACACACTCACACAGCAGCCACACACAGTAACCACAACACAACAACATAATAACACCACAGACCATACCACAGCCACCACAGACCACATAACACACACAACCGCACCACCACCCACACGCCGCCGCCAACAACTCCTGGTTCCCCCTACAATCTGCACGGTATGTCAGACCAGGATATTCCGTAATGTGACATCAGTCAAGTGCAACACCTGCCTTGGCTGGTGCCACTTTAGGGCATGGTCAGGTCTGCGTACCACGCGAGATTGGACGGGGAACTTCGAGGGCCCGTGTTGCGCTGCTCGGTCGCAGGCTTCAATAGCGACGCCCCCCACCTCCACCACAGGGCGGCAATCACCTCAGCAGCACACACAGCCAACGGCGGCAAGAACATACACTTCACTTACACCCCACATCACGACACGTCTCCCGAACCACATGAAGCTCCTTCAATTCAACTGTAACGGGCTACAGAGCAAGATTGAGGAGATAACCGTCTTCATGTGTCGGCATGGTATATTAATAGCTGCGGTCCAAGAGACGAAGTTGCACAGCAATTCAACTTTGTTGAATTGCGCCGGGTACAACGTGCACCGTCGAGATCGCGAGCGAGATAATGGTGGTGGCTTAGCGTTCATCACGCACCACACCGTGCAGTATCGTCTTATCGAAGCAGACATCGACCGCAGGGATACCACCCTAGAATGTCAGGGCATCGCTATCCGGTCAGGCGATGTCGAGCTCGAAATATTTAACATATACATACCTCCTGTCACCTGCTGCCCGGCAGGATATCACCCTGATATAGGTGCGCTCCTCAGAGGTGAAAACCGTATGGTAGTAGGTGACTTTAATGCGCACCACGATCTTTGGCACTCAAGCCTGTCAAACGATCGTAGGGGAACAGACTTGGCTGAGCAGATAGACGATTCGACATTCTGCACAATGAACGACGACGCACCCACCAGGATTATGGGTAACTGCAGTAGCTCGCCAGACATCACAATAGTCAGCGCTGGTCTGATAAACAGCATAACGTGGCGACCTATGCTGACTCTAGCATCAGACCATCTACCCATAGTCATCTCGATTGATAAACCAACCGACTTTGCCTCCGCCAAACACCGGACCTATATCAACTTTTCTAAAGCTGATTGGAAAGGTTACGCGGAGTTTACCGAAAACACCTTCGCAGCGCTCCCCACACCAACCGACGTCCATCTCGGTGAACGTAAGTTCCGCAGGGCTATCACTGCTGCTGCAGCTCGCTTCATACCGGCAGGATGTATATCGGACCCACGTCCAAACTTCCCTGCCGAAGCGGCTGTTCTAGCCGATGAGCGTGATAGCCTTCGTCAGGCCGATCCCGGAGATCCCCGTATCAGGGATCTCAACGCGGAGATTCGGCAACTTGTAAACGTACATAAGCGGAAGAAGTGGGAGGAGCATCTGAAGACTTGTAATTTCTCCTCTGGTGTGAGCAAGCTTTGGTCAACGGTGAGGTCATTGTCTAATCCGACGAAGCACGACGACAGAGTCGAAATTTCCTTCGGCGACCATGCCTCGTCGGACCCGGAGCGATGCGCGAGCTATTTTAGCCGGCAGTTGATACTGCATCCTCCGGTCGACAAAGCCAAGCGTCGAGTGACCAGAAGGCTGCACAAACTGCCAACAACTTGTGCCCCCCTTGCTTTCACGTGCTGTGAAGTTCAGGTGGCCATCGGGAAGGCGAAAGCCTCCAAAGCCTTGGGTCCCG